CCAAAGCAAATCCAGCCCATTTGATCAAATAACCTGTTATGCAGTGCTTTATTAACTGTTTTTTGAAAGTAATCACATGGGTTGTCAAGTCCTTTGGTTGCATTGCATAGTTAGAATTAAGACCAAGGCCAAAATGAAAAAGGACTTGTATTTATAGTTCTTGAGATTGTGAAATACCATGATTTGATTACAAATGAAAATGAAAGGTGCCAGAAATACATATGAGGTTAGCTTAGGTCTCAGGTTGTAAACAGTTCCAACTGAAACATTGGCCAACTTATATCTTTATACTGACTAATTGACCAAATAGGTGGCAAAAGCTTGTCTTGTTACCAGTGAATATTAGAAGATCACAGAGAGTGGTTAAGTTTCTTTCTCTTGATGCATGCATGAAAAATATATTTCATATTTTCAGCATTTGGAAATTTCAAATTTATCGCCAAGACATTTTACCAGATTTCTATTCCTCATCAAGCAAATGTTTTTTAGAGTTATTTTTAGGACCCAGATAAATGATCTATATTAGCAACAATCTGTAACAATTAATCATTTCAGCTTATCTGGTAGGATTCGCCAGTTCCCTACAAGTAAATGAGCTGATGGATCAGTCTCATAATTACCCCCTGTGATTAGACAACAGGAAAATTGATTCTGATATTATCATACACCTTTCTGAAAACTCATTACTTATACATCAGATAATTTTCCTGTACAATTTAGATAGATGAAAAGGTGCAAGATAAAAATTTTTAATATAGTTATTCTTTGTGCCATCTTTAATAACTTTTCTCCAAGACACTTCTTTTGTCTCTGACTTCAGAAGGTTGAGAATTAAATTCCCTCCATGTAGTTGAGCACATAATCAATGATAAGTTTTCAGTACAGTTATGAGGGGGTTGCTGCCTTCAAGAATGTTAAACAAAGCTTTATTTCTTGTTCAGTTCCACGTAGAAGACTATTGGCACTAAATTCCTTTTTTATTCACTCACAGGATGTGGGCATTTCTAGCTAAGCCAGCATTTATTGCCGATCCCTAATTGCCCAGATGACAGTTCAGAGTCTGGAGTCACATGTAGACCAAACCAGGTAAGGATGACAGATTTCCTTCCCTGAAAGATATTAGTGAACCAAATGGGATTTTCCGACAATTGACAATGGTTTCATGGTCATCATTAGACTCTTAATTTCAGATTCTTTAAGAAATTCAAATTCCACCATCTGTCTTGATAGAATTTGAACCAGGATATTTACTGGCTACCATGTTTGCTTTGTAATGGTGATGATACTTCAGAAGCTCATTATTGGCTGTGAAACATTTCTTGATGTTTTTAGGAGTGGAAAGTGGTTATGTTAATGTAAATTTTGTCTTTCTGGTATTTCATTGCATTTTGAATACTTAGCATTCAAGGTTACTCTTAGAAAACTAAGTAGTTGG